AGGGGGGGCGGGAGGGAGGCAGTTGCCTGTTTGACTCTCCAATCCAGCTGTTTATTGTCTGAGGAAAGTAATAAAAATCCATATCTTCATACAAGAACCCTTTCCCTTTTGGCAATAGATAACCATTAAATTGCCTTAAGTTACCATCAGAAAGCACCTTTGACTGTAGACTATCTATTACCTGTACATTCAAAAGAAAGAAACAGACATATTCACAGTAAAACTGTATTTTAAAAGTACATCAGTGACCTAGTTCTTTCTCTCCTTGCAGTCAGTATGTTTTATATACACATGCATCATAAAAACTGTCTTCTCACAGTCTTTCAAAGTTTTCAATGACAGAAAAAGTAGCAATCAAGTGTTTCTCACTTGGATACTCTAAAAGCGCCTAGAAGTCTGACAGGACTCTCCATAAATGTGATATAGAGACCCTCTTAAGATACTAAACACTTTTATTTTTTCTCTTTTAAGGAGTGTCTTCTACTCATTGAAATGGAAGATTCTTTTGTTTGATTTCTTGCAGAATCAGTTCCATACAAACAACACTCCTACAGCAATGGCAGACATTGATCCACCCTGACAGCTTCAGAGCTTGCACTTGGCATGGATAAAGATTTCAAACATTTTCTCAAAGATCAGTGCCATGCTTGGTAAACTGACTTCTTTCCTTTCAGTATCACTCCGTGTATTATGTTGGGAGAAATTAGGTAAGGAGCAGGAAGATCTGTCCTCTTTTTAGTGAAACTTTGTCAGACATAGCAGAGACCTTGTCAACAGACACCAATTGCATTTGAGACCAACTATAAAGCTTGGTTAATTCAGTACAATATTCTATATGCAACTGTATGTGACAATTAATGCTGGACACATCAGTTATTTCGAATTGCAGAGGAGCAAGGTGTCCTTTTGGGGGCTGTCAAATCCAATCGATAGAAAATAATGAATTACTGTCTGAAGCACCAGCAAACTATCTTGTCTCTAACTAAAGTTTCCTGAGGTAAATAGGTTATTTTTATTTATATAGCTTGGTGTTCAAATAAACACTTAAGAAGGCTACATTACAAGAACAGTACATTATGAAACGCATAAGCTAAAATGACCTAAACAGGGTATTTAACAGGCTAACCCTTCCCTTTTTTAACTCCTCATTTAGTGTCTAGATGTATGTTTTGAAACTAGATTAATCTATTCTGAGCTGTATATATAGAGAGATCACATTAAGCTTTTAAGTTTCACAATAACATGTTTTTTTACTGTATAATTACTGAATTTAAGTAAAATGTGTTTGTAACAGTAGAGGATTTCAAGACAATGGAAGAAAGAAGGGAAAATACCACCCTACTGTTTCTAAATTGAACTAATCAGATACATCACTAGTTCAACAACAACATGACAGCTGATTCCACAAAAAGAAACTGAATATTTAAATCTTAAAAACAACAGAATCAGAAGTAAATAAACAAACTACAAACTAAGTCAATCAAGCATGTTGTAATTTCTCAAGTTACCAGTGGCAGAGAGGACGACTACACAAACAGAACAGAACATGAAAGTTAGTTAGAAGTTCCATTATTAAATTTTACAAATACCCAAAATCTGTATTAGCTGCAAGCTCAACTGCTGCTTGAGCAACAAATAATTAAAAGTACTAGTGACTGTGTATTAAAACGGGTTAAACAAAATTGTCCAATTATACAAAGAATATTCATTCCAGTAACAATCTTTTTCAGACTGCTATTTGAATAATATTCTTAAACTTAATTATTGGGATGAATACCAGCATTAGCAATTCAAAACGGGATTCTCTTATTACTCTGATGGTTGTTTCAGTGGAACCACTCTGCACTTAGGTACATATCTGAATAAAATAGGATAGCTGAATCTCAGCTGAAGTAAATCATTCAGATGTCAAGACAGCTATGCCAATAATGTTACTTTTCTGATTATTTAATTAATTTTGACTATTTGATTTCTAGTTTAGGCTCTTTCAGGAATAGAGTATGTTCATTTCTTATCTGAGTTAGACTAGAGTTAGTTAGAACTGCTTTTGTAAAATGGAACAGACCTAGTTCTGCTTGTCAATACTAGATTTCTTAACCCTAGACAGAAATTAAAAATGCATATTAAAAATAGACACGAAAATGCAGTTATGAACTTGTTTGTACTTCATGAACACTTTTTTTAAAAATCAAATGAACTTATTCTCTTGCTATATGTGCCAGGACTTCTTTCACCCCCCATAGCTTGATAAACCGTGTTTAAAAAAACAGCCTTCAGTAAGCTATTGAATACTCTAAGAACACACTATTTTTGCTTTATCATACCAGCTCAAATGCAATGTCAGCACTCTGCTTTCCGCTCTTTAAGTAAATGCACTAAATTGCCACACCAAAAATTTCCTATACAACACCACTTTTTTTTTCCATCAGCAGTGATTTAAAACTAGCAGTTATTTTTAAAAGCTATTTATACAGTGAGTCATTTCCATAGTAATTATCTGTAATTTGCTTTCTTTACTTATTTCAGAGGGGTGGAGAGGGAGTAAGCTGGAATTGCCTTGCTCAACTGAGGTGGCACAAGCTGGTGACTCACTACACTGTGTGGTGGATCACCATCAGCCTGGTTTTCTCCTTCTGACTCCAGAGCTGCGAGACTTGCACAGAGGAGCCAGGCATTTGACAAAAAAGCCCCAAAACAGCCATAGACATCCTCAAGTTACGGTCTGATAACAGCATTGCATGTCCTTAAACTGTAAATTACTCTGCAGCTTTAAAGCATTTTCAAGAACATTTTCTTCCTGTTTTAATGCATCATTGACAAAATATAATAAGATATATGGCAGCACAAACATTAGTTTTTACCTTCTCAGAGAAAATCTGATGTTCACTTTGAAAACTTAATCATGTTTTCCTTAGAGGTGAATAACACTGCATGGTATTAGCGGGGAAAAAAATCCAAGAAGAGATGGGCAGATTTGGAAAGCATATACCAGGATACGTATCGTCCAACATAGTTTAAGAGAGATAATGTAAGAAGGCAATGCTTGGAGAGTATCTGAATACCTGTGTCAGACTTCTGATTATTTCTGTTACAAAGGTAGAAGCCTTGACAGGTCAGGAAAAAATCTGAACTTTGAAGCACAGGAAAGTTGAGGGAAGCAGATTCAGTGTAACAGTGTGCTATATTATATTATGTATTACGTCACATTACATTAGTTTTGTGTTTATATTAAGGCTTGTGAAATTTTATATTAATGTGAAATATGTTTGCCTTTAACGTTCAAATGAAACGTAAGACTCATAAATTAAAGAATAAACTTAGATATATGACATTACCTCTATGGAAAAGGCTATGCCAGAGCTCTACAAAATTATCCAAATGAACCACCTGTGAAGAGCGGAATCCAAGAACAAATAAAATTTTTTCTGAATGCAACATCAAAAATAAATGATATTCCCCTCAGCATCAGATTTCAGGGTCTCAGAGGACCTGCATGCTACCACAACTGACTGACTGACTTCCCAAAAACTCAGCATCAGTCATTAAGAATGTGATTTTAATGCTACAGATGTTTCATTGAAAATACGCGCTTAAGAAGTCTGCCTCTTCACCCGCTCCCCATTCAACAGACTTCAGTTCATTTTTCCATAAACTGGCTCAATCTTCTTTAGTTCTCAACATGGCCCTGTGGGCACTATTGGCATGACTGATGAGGCAACCCGTCATCAAGCAGAGAGCTGAAACAAGCTGTGTTTCCACCAAAATCCCCCTTGCACCCAGCCTCACTCTGTCCCATGCTGTCAGGTTAAATGTGCTAAAGACACAGCTCAGATGATTAACGCTATCTGACCTACTCGTAACAACTAACTCAACCAACTCAACTGTCTGCCCCTGCAACAACTGATATAAATAATCATCACCCCTAGTTATAAAGAGGGGAAGCAAACCCTAAAAAAACCAGATTGTTTTCAAGATGCGTGAATGTGAAGATTCTGGAAAATGCACCATTTATGCCAGTTGGTCAAAGATACATCTGTTGGTGTGAGTAAGAGGTTTTTATCTCACAGTTTAAGAGTGAGGTTTGGCTTGTTCTGTTATGTGTGTTAATTGTAATTGTAGTACTGGGTCACCAGCACATTCTTCACCATTCACAGGCCCTTGGGAACAGCAGTGCCTCCTTCTAGCTTCAGCTGGCTAAGTCGTGTTTGCAGCTATTCTTGAAAAACAAAACAAAACAAAACAAGAAGGAAGACACCAGGCAACTCACTAGTGCATGTCGGTGATAACTCACTATGAACTGATAAAAGTCTGCTTGGATGA